CTGCCAAAACTCCAGGTCACAAAGACCAGAAGACCAAAGAGGAAATAGAAATCAAGGAATAAAATACCCATCCAACAAAGACAAACCCAGAAATTGGCACCTAGACTTATAATTACCCCAAACCCAGATACCTAGACACCAGAGGAAATAAAAACACAATCAACAACAAGCCAGGGCATTATGTCCCCACTAGAATACAGCTATCCTATGACAAGAAGTCCTGAAAATTCCAACACAGCTGAAGGACAAGAAAAAGACCTTAAAACCAACTGTTTGAAGATGATAGGGGTCCTTAAATAGGAAATTAATTAATCCCTTAAAGAAAGCCAAGAAAGAACAAACAGTTGAAGAAAACAAATGAAAATATTCAAGACCTTAAAATGGAAATAGAAGCAATAAAGAAAATGCCAACAACAACAACATAACAGGAATTAGCAGTCATTGGTCATTAACATCTCTCAATATCAATGGACTCAATTCCCCAATAAAAAGACACAGACTAAAAGAATAGTTGTGAAAACAGGATCCATCCTTCTGCTGCATATAAGAAACACACTTCAACATGAAAAATAGAAATTACCTCAGAGTAAAGGGTTGGAAAAAGATTTTCCAAGCAAATAGACCCAAGAAGCAAGCTGGTGTAGCCATTCTAATATCTAACAAAATAGACTTCAAACCAAAATTAATCAAAAGAGACAAGAAAGGACATTTCATGCTCATCAAAGGAAAAAATCTACCAAAATGATCTTTCAATTCTTAACACCTATGCCCCAAATGCAAGGGCACCCACATTTGTAAAAAGAAATATTACTAATGCTTAAATCACACATCAACCCTCACACATTATTAGTGGGAGATTTTAATGCCCATTCTCACCAATGGACAAGTCATCCAGACAAAAACTGAACAGACAAATATTGGAGTTAAGGGACATTACGAACCAAATGGATCTAACTACAGAATACTTCACCCAAACACTAAAGAATATATCTTCGTCTCAGCACCTCACAGAACTTTCTCCAAAACTGACCACGTACTCAGTCACAAAGAAAGTCTTAACAGTTATAAGAAAACTGAAATAACCCCCTGCATCCTATCAGACCACCACAGATTAAAGCTGAATTTCTGAAACAAGAGAATGCCTACAAATTTATGGAAACTGAACAAAACTCTGCTGAGTAACTACTGGTTCAGGGCAGGAATAAAGAAATTAAAGACTTCCTAGAATTCAATAAAAATGAATGCACAACATACCCAAACTTATGGGACACAATGAAAGGAGTGCTGAGAGGGAAGTTCATAGCATTAAGTGCCTACATAAAGAAATTGGAGAGATCACTTACTAGCAACCTAACAACACACCTGAAAACACTAGAACAAAAAGAAGCAAGCTCACCCAAAAGGAGTAGACAGCGGGAAATAATCAAAGTGAGGGCTGAAATCAATAAAATGAAAACAGAGAACACCACAAAGAATCAATGAAACAAAGAGTTGGTTCTTTGAGAAAATCAACAAAATAGACAAACCTTATCGAAACTAACTAAAAGGTAAAGAGAGAATATCCAAATTAACAAAATTAAAAATGAAAAGGGGGATACAACAGCAGATACCGAGGAAATCCAAAGAATCGGTAGGTCATACTTTAAAAACCTGTACTCCACAAAATTGGAAACTCTTAAAGAAATTCTCTTGATATATACCACTTACCAAAGTTAAATCAAGATCAGATAAACAATTTAAATAGACCTATAACCCCTTAGGAAATACAAGCAATCACTAAAAGTCTCCCAACCAAAAAAAGCCGAGGGCCAAATGGTTTTAGCACAGAATTCTACCAGACCTATAAAGAATAGCTAATACCAATACCCCTCAAATTATTCCACAAAATAGAAACAGAAGTTTCTATTCATTTTATGAGACCACAGCCACCCTTATACCCAAACCACATGAAGATTTAACAAATAAAAAGAGATAAAACCAATAATTTCCCTCACGAACATAGATGCAAAAATACTCAATAAAACACTTGCAAACCAAATCCAAGAACACACCAAAAAGAACATCCACAATGATCAAATAGGCTTCATACCAGAGATGCAGGGATGTTTCAACATATGAAAATTAGTGGATGTAATCCACCATATAAACAAACTAAAAGAAAAAAAAAGCACATGATCATCTCATTAGATGCTTTAAAAATCCTTTGACAAAATCCAACACCACTTCATGATAAAAAGTCTTGGAGAGGTCAGGGATGCAAAGGATGTACTTCAACATTATGAAGGCAATTTACAGCAAGCCTATAGCCAGTATCAAATTAAATGAAGAGAAACTCAAAGCAATTCCACTAAAATCAGGAACAAGATAAGACTGTCTACTCTCTCCATTTCTATTCAGTATAGTACTCAAAGATCTAGCTGGAGCAGTTAGACAACTGCAAGAAATCAAGGGGATACAAATTGGAAAAGAAGAAGTCAAAATAATGATAATTGCAAATGATATGACAGTACACATAAGCAGTCCCAAAAATTCTACCAAGGAACTCCTACAGTTGAAAAACACCATCATCAAAGTGGCTGAATACAAGATGAACTCAAAAAAAATCCTACACAGAAATGACAAACCGGCTGAGAAAGAAATCAGGGAATCAACATCCTTCACAATATCCTTAAATAATATAAACTATTTTGGGGTAACTCTAACCAAGCAAGTAAAAGACCTGTATGACAAAAACTTCCAAGTCTTTGAAGAAAGAAATTGAAGAAGATATCAGAAGATGGAAAGATCTCCCATGCTACTGGATTGGTAGGATTAACATAGTAAAAATGGTCAATTTACCAAAATCAGTCTACAGATTCAATCAATCCCTATCAAAATTCTAACCAAATTCTTTACAGACCTTGAAAGAATAATACTCAACTTTATATGGAAACACAACAAACCCAGTATAGCTAAGAAAAAAATCCTAAGCAATAAAAGAACTGCTGGAGATATCACTATTCTCTATTTCAAGTTGTATTACAAAGCTATACTAATAAAAACTTAAAAAATAATGCCAAAGCATGGTATTAGCATAAAAACAGACCTGTTGATTAATGGAATCAAATTGAAGACCCAGACATAAGTCTACATACCAATGGACACCTGTTTGTTTTTTTTTTTAATATAGAAGCCAGAAATACACAGTGGAAAAAAAGAAAGCATTTTCTACAAATAATGCTGGTCTAACTGAATGTCTACATCTAGAAGAAAGCAAATAGATCCATATCTATCCCCCTACACAAAACTCAAGTCCAAGTAGATCCAGAGACTTCAACATAAAACCAGATACAGTGTACCTGATAGAAGAGAAAGCAAGGAATAATCTTAAATGCATTGGCACAGGAGACTACTTCCTGAAGAGAACACCAATAGCATAGACCCAAGGATCAACAATTAATAAATGGAACCTCATGAAACTGAACAGCTCTGTAAGTCAAAGGATACCTACAATAAGACAAAACAGCAGTCTACAGAATGGGAAAAGATTTTCACCAACTCCACATCTGACATAGGCCTAATTTCCAAAATATATAAAGAACTCAAGAAAGTAGACATCAACAAACCAAATAATCCAATTTCAAAAATGGGGTACAGATCTAAACAGAATTCTCAACAGAGGAATCTCACATGTCTGAGAAACACTTAAAGAAATGCCCAACATCTTTAGCCTCAGGGATATATCAATCAAAACAACTCTGAGATTCCATCTTACACCTGTCAGAATGGCTAAAATCAAAACCACAAGTGGCAGTTCCTACTGGCAAGGACGTGAAGCAAGGGGAACACTCCTCTATTGCTGTTGGGAATACAAACTTGTACAGCCACTATGGAAATTAATGTAGATGGTTTCTCAGAACTCAAGATTCAGCTTACCACTCCTAGGCATACACCCAAAAGATGCTCCATCACACTACAAGGGCACTTGTTCAACCATGTCTATTGCAGCTTTATTTATAATAGTCAGAAACTCCAATCAAACTAGATGTTCCTCAACCAAAGAACAGATAAAGAAAATGTGGCACATTTACACAATGAAGTATGACTCAACTGTTTAAAAAAAATGACATCATGAAATTTGCAGGCAAATGGATGCAACTAGAAAAAAAAATCATCCTGAGTGAGGTAATCCAGAGTATAGCATAAGGGGCTAGCAGGAGAAGGGTGACTCTCCTTAGGATAGAATAGATAACTATGGGTTATCAGGGAGGACTAGAATAGGGAGGGCAGAAGGGGGACAAGAGGGTAATACGTGGAGGGACAGGTAAAATTAAGAGCCATTTGACGAGTCATATGAAAGCTTAATACAGCAGAAGCTACCTAAATTATATACATATATGAAGGCAATCTAAACGAGATCACCAAATAATGGGGGAGACAAAGCCCCAACTGGACATCTCTAGTCACCAAACAAAGCTTCCAGTACCAATCATGGGTTACATCTAATAGAGTCTTGGCCAAGGAAGTCCCATGGTAACCTCCAAACAACCCAGGCTATTGCCAAGCTTATTAGTTGCTCTCCACAAACCGACAGTAAGGTCATATTGCTGAAGACAACACCTATACAACTCACTGAACACATAGAAATTGATCTGATGCCTATTTAGAGCCTTTACCCCTACTGACATGACTACAGTGTTCATGTTACTAGAAGGTACTTTGCACCCTACCAAAGGAGAAAGGTAAACATCAACATAGCTACAAACACTTCAACCTACAATGGTGATCCACCTGTAAGATGCATTAGTGCAATAGTGGTACAAAGTTGTGGGAGTAACCAACCGATATCTGATTTGACTTAAGGCCCATTCCATGAGATGGAACATATACCCAATGCTGCTTGGGTGGCCAAGAACCTGAGACAAAATAGGCCAAGGACCTAGGAGAAAACCAAGTACTACTGTTCTGCTAAAGGAATATAGCAATAAAATGATTTCCTAATGACATTCTGCTATACTCACAGATCAGTGCCTTGCTCAGCCATCATCAGAGAAACTTCCTCCTGTGGAAGATGGAAACAAACACAGAGACCCACAGTCAGGCAATATGCAGAGAGTAAGAGACCTCAGACACTCAGCCCAAAAAGGAATATCTCCATCAAATCCCTCACCTCAGGGATAAGGGAACTCTGAGGAAGAGGAAGCAGAAAGAGTGTAAAAACCAGGAAGGATAGAGAACTCTAAATAATCAAGGCCTTAGCCAGGCATGGTGATGCATGCCTTTAATCCCAGCACTCAGGAGGCAAAGGCAAGTGGATCTCTGTGAGGCCAGCTTGGTCTACTGAGTGAGTTCCAGGACAGCTAGGGCTGTTACACAGAGAAACCTTCTAGACACAACAGGACTAGTACATGTGTGAACTCACAGAGACTATGGCAACATGCACAGGGGCTGCATGGCTCTGCACCAGATGGTGTTCTAGAGCTGAAAGGAGAAGTCAACACACACACCCATCCATAACCCAGAAGCTATATCCAACTGATACCCACTTGCAAATGAAAAATTAGTTTTCTAAAGGGCATCTCACCAAAAACAAAAAACAAAAAATCACTCTTAAGGTAGGCCCCATGCCCAGCAGTAGACGGACAACACAAAACAGGTCCTTTGTGTGTGTGTGTGTGCGTGTGTGTGTGTGTGTGTGTGTGTGTGTGTGTGTGTGTGTGTGTGTGTGTATTATGGCTTCTGGTTTGTGGATTTTACAGGATTCCTGAGTATACAAAGTGTGTCTCTGCATCTATATGCATTTCTTGGGGGGTTTCTTTATCTCTTTTTCTTGTTTGGTTGTTTGTTCCTATTCTAATTTGTTTGTTTTTTATTTATCTTATTTTATCCTATTATTATTCCCTAGATGCCTGTTTGTTTTCTAATGAGAGATAGAAATGGTGTGGATCTGAATGAGAAAGGATATGGAAGGTGTATGGGGAGGGAAAACCATATATAATATATAATATATTCTGATTATATATATTACATACATATACGTACGTAATATATAATCTATAATATTGTATAAAAAATCTATTTTCAATAAGAGAAAAAATGACAAAAAGAAAACTACTACAGAAACTTCCTAAAATGTGTGAATGTATGTGTTGATAGACAGGTAGGTAGGTAGATGATAAATAATGGAGATCTCCTCTAAAAAGGAGACAATACCCTAACTGGGTAGACACTGCTTGCTAGCAAATAAAAACCAAAAATGGGTTACCTTTGAGTTACAGGTCATTAGGGTCCCATAGACTCCCAAGAATTACAAGATATCTCCAGTACTCTTTGTTATCTTCCAGAGTTTGACAGTAAACCCCATTGCTGAAGACAACATATACTTGAGTCACAGAACATGAAAAAAAATCAAGATGGCACTCACCTGGAAGCTTCACACCTAATGGCTAGTGCTGAGAAGTGATATGTACACTATGGGAAGAAAAAAGCAATCATTAATCTCACCCAGTTGTGAACCATGCAGACCACAATGACTAGTCTGACAATGCATGCCCACTGGTACAATAGAGGCATGAATGTTATAGAGGCAACCAACCACTTTCTGTTTGGATCTAAGGCCCACTCCATGAGATGGAACACATACCAGGTACTATTAAAGAGGCTAAGAACATACGATGATATTGGTCACAGACCATACAGGAGAACCTAGTACTACTATTCTGCTAAATGGGCATAGTACGAAAACGGCCCCTTATGATTTACAGTTATAGATCAGAGCACCTTTCAACCCTCATCAGAGAACTTCTCCTTGCAGTAAATAACAGTTGACACAGAGACCCTCAAATGGTCAAGTGCAGAGAATAAGAGACTGTGTTCTCAGCCCTAAATAGAAGAACATATCACACCCACCCCTGAAAGTCTCACAGAGGCAGGAAGAATGTAAGAGGCTGAGGTGGGAGATAACATCAAGGAGATCATTTTCAGGACATAATGTTTGCAATGTGAATTCACAGCAATTGTGCCAACATGCACAAGCCCTGCACAAGCTTATACCAGACCAACACCCAACATAGAGTGGGGAAGATGGGCAAGAAACCCCACCACTAGTTGAGGAGCTATTGAAAACTGATCGCTGCTGGGGGGGGGGGAGTCAGTTTTCAATAATGATGTGACCCCTGGAAGGTCAAGCTGCTCCCAAGATTAGTTGGGCAACACAAACTGGACTCATTGGGGAGAGGGAGAAGAATATTTAAAGTTGTGTGGGAAGGGAGAGGAGGGTAGAAAGGGCAGGCATGAGAGGATTTGGGGAGTTGAATATGTTCAACTTTAGAAAGACCAACAATTCGATGAGCTAGGAAGACACTAACTCTTTATGTATTTAATCACAGGAAGTAAATATAACCAAACAAAAACCCATCAGAGGCATGAGAAGAAATCTGACAGTACCAAAGGAAAAACAGCCTGCTTTTTGTTGTTTGTTTTCATGGAGCTGGGAACTGAATCCAGCGCCTCCTGTAACCGAGGTGATGTCCTACCACTGAGCTACAGCCCCAACCCAAACATTTCTAACACTAAGATATAAAAACCATAGCCATATCATTGTGTATTTTAATTTTAAAATAAAGCAAACTCTGCACTCCTGAAAATAAAAATCTAATCAATAGGACTATTAATCAATAGGACTACTCAACTCAACTGAGGTACAGTAGGGCCATCCAGAGCACATCCTCTGACCACAATATACTTACGCTAGAAGTAAAACAAAATGATACTTAGCCATGCTTCAAAGGCATAAAATTTTTAAATATGCTTCTAAATATATTATGGGTCAAGGAAGAAAACATAAGGGAAAATGTTTTGAACTATATAACAAAGAAAGTGCTATATATCGAAACTTGACTATGATCTAAAGCAATTCTTAGAAGGAAATGTATCTCATTTTAAATGGGAATGTCAAGAAGAGCAACTAAAGTTAACATTTCATTTACCTTTATTCTTCTGTTTAAGTCCATAACATACCATTTCATCACAGTATTGTTTAATGTGTAAACTATATTGTTATATATAAAAAATAAAGTATGTTTTCTTGGAATAAAAAAATAAATATAAATAAAAATTGCATTCCAGTCATCTGTCTCCAAAGCTTTTTAAAGAACAATGAAATAAGTTTTCAAAAAAATAAGGAAATAATAAAAGCGAGAGCAGAGACTAATGAAATAGCAAACAAGCAGCAGAACAATGGCCAACTCCACCCCCGAAAGACAAGAGTTGGTCTTGGAAAAACTAATGACAGAACTTACAAACCACAAGCAAAACCGTTCACGAGAGAAGGGGCGAGCAAAATATCGAACGTCACAAAAGGAAACGATGCCTCACTTAACAAATCCTGTCCAAGGAAGATGACAGGAAAATGTCATAAACAAGTTGTCTGTCAACGAACATGAAACTGGGTCATAAGACTTTTCAAAAAGTCAATTGGTAACAACATATTCTAACAAAAAAAAAAAGCCTGAATCTCAAAGCTCCCTGGTGACTTAGGAAATGCTCAAATGACTCTAGCCTTACACTAACTCTTGCAGAGTAAATTTAAAAAAAAAAAAAAGACAATGCATTCACTGACATATTTGATGGAGCTGGGATAACTTTAATAAAGCCCAGCCAGTCAACCCCCTGCTCAATGTCATGGTAGTAAGGTCTGTTGACATCGTGATAGGATGTGTGATGAGCTATTGATGCTCAAATTAAGATGCAACAAAAAGAATCCTTTACCTCACTCTAACATAAGAAACATCACATACACACTGAGCAACGTTCTCCAAAACACTTGACCCATTAAACAAACAAACCAGGCTTGGTGGCACACACCTTTAGTTCCATCACTTGGGAGGCAGAGGCAGGCAGATCTCTGTGAGTTCAAGGCCAGCCTGGTCTACAGAGTGAGTTCCAGGAAAGAAAAAAGATAAAACAAACCAAAAAAAAAAAGGCAAAAACAAAAAAGTAAGGAGTCCTAAGCAAAGAAAATCAAGACAGATGAGTAAATAGACACAGAGTGAAACACAGCACAGAACGATGACCAATAGGGTCTTGGGGCTCCAGAAAATCTCGTCAAATCTGAATGAAGTCATTACAACATTGAAAGTTTTTCTTTGAAAAGTAACAAGGCAGGTGTGATAGCACATACCTGTAATCCTAGCACTTGTAAGGCAGAGACAGATAGATCCCCATGAATTCAAGGCCAGTGTGTCTATGTAGTTAGTTCCAGATTAGCTAGGTACACTGTGAGACCTTGACTCCAAACAAAAATAAGTCAGCCAGAAGATAAGTCCTCAGACACAAAATCTTAAACATTAGCAAACTTAACTCAGCTGTACTTAGACACAGAGAAGAATGAAGGGAAAGTAAGTAGAAGTGAGAAGATGGAAAGAATGAGAAATGAGAGTAGATAAACAGAGTGTGGGGGCTGGAGATGTTAAGAGCACTGGCTGCTCTTTCAGAGGATCTGGTTCAATTCCTAGCACCACAAATGGCGGCTCATCACTGTCTCTAACTCTAGTCCTAGGAGCCAGACACACTCCTGTGGCCTCTGTTGGCACCAGGCACATACGCACATACATGCAAGCAAAATACTCTACACATAAAATTTTAAAATAATTTTTGTGTGTATGGCTATTTTGCCTGCATGTTTATCTGCATACCATGTGTGTCCACAGTGCTGACAAACACCAGAAGAGAGTGTTGGAGCTCCTGGAACTGGATTGGTCCTCTGGAAGAGCAGCCAGTATTTCTAACAACTGAACCATTTCTCCAGTCCTTAAAATAATGTTTTAAAGGAGAATGTAATGAGGTCTAATTGAATTACTACCTGGGTCATGGTGCTAATTAATCTGTAGGACAGGATGTAGTCAGAACACTAACAAACTAAAGTGGAGCTCAATGACCATCTTAGTAGATGCAGAAAAAGATGGGATGGATGTCAATGTTTGCAAAACAGTAATCTATAGTAATTTTCTTAACCTGATGAAGGGTATGTATAGCTATACACACCCCAAAACTCTTGGTAAAGAATATAACAAAAGGTTAATAAAGCCTCTAAAAATAAGTTTCTCTAATTTTACTAAGAAAATGAAAGACCTACCTGTGGTGATATATTGTATACCCTAATAAACTTGCCTGAGGATCAGAGAACAGAGCCAGCCACTAGATTAGACATAGAGGTCAGGCAGCAGTGGCACACACCTTTAATCCTATCACTAGGGAGGCAGAGATTTGTCTGGATCTCTCTGAGTTCAAGGTCACACTGGGCTACGTGAGATTGATCCAGTATAGAAGAGAAACAGAGCCAGGAAGTGGTGGCACACACCTTTAATCCCAGCACTTGAGACCCCATGCCTTCACTTGGGAAGCACACACGTCTTTAATCCCAGGAGGTAATACGACAGGACAGAGAAAGGTTTATAAGGAGTGAGGAAACAGGAGCTCACTCTCTTTAGGCTGAAGATTTCGTAGAGGTAAGAACTAGTGTCTGGATGTTCTGCTTTTCTGATCTTTCAGCTTTCACCCTGATATCTGGCTCTGGGTTTTTTATTATAAAACCATCTAAGATTCGAACAACACCTACCTACATAGACAGATACTCTGCAGTTGTGGTTTCGTTCAAGTGTTTAACTGTGTAAAGATAACTGTCCATACTGAATTTATTTATTGTTGAAGTCAACACAATTTCCATCAAGTAAACTGACTCTAAAGTTAGGTAGAAATGCAAAGAATACATGTGAAGGGGAACAATTTGTCCTTCTAATTCTTTGGGAAATGTATAGATTAGGTCAGTGATGTATGGTCACAAGGAGCCTGAATCGGTCAACAGATCAGAACCACAGCACAGAAACAGGCCAAGCACAAGTGATACCCTCACTGAGGGACTGTTATCTAAAAGTATAAGATTAAATTCTCTCCTCCACAAGCTGCTTTTGGTCTGAGTATTTCATCAACAGAAACCTTCATTAGGACAACCATAGAAATTCAGAATTGTACCCCACTTCTTACACTTGAAACCATGTACAGGAGATGCTAATGCCTGTGAAGATACAAGGATACACTGACAAGGATTTTTGCAGCCATAAGCAACTGGCTTCATATGGCTGTCTCTAATAGAAAATAAAGACCCATAGAAAATAAATTGAAATCTACTGAATTATACACTAGGGAAGGGTGGATCTTGCAGTATGTGGATATCTTAGTTACTTTTCCATTGCTGTGATAAGACACCATGACCAAAGCAGCTTAGAAAAGAAAGAAATTATCGGGGGCTCACAGTTTCAGAGGACTAGAATCCATGACAGCTGTGAGCATGGCAGCAGGCAAGCAGACATGCTGAAGCAGTGGCTAGAAGCTCACATCTTTATCCACAAGCACAAGGCAAAGAGCTCTAACTGGGAATGGTGTGCGCTTTTGAAACCTCAAACCCTGCCCCAGCTATCACATCTCTTAATCTTTCCCAAACAGTTCCACCAACTGGAGACCAGGCATTAAAATATATACGAGCCTATGGGGACCATTCTCATTCAAATCACCACAGTAAATTATATCTCAGTTTTAAAATGACTAATACAAATTAACAGACAAGTAGAATTTTCTATGTGTACCTTTGAATTTGTGGGTAAAAATGCCCCTAGGGGTGACCTAGGCATAAATGGCCACTTTGTGCCAAGATGGTAACAGAAAAAGAGAAAGTTCTATGTCTGTCTTAGAGAGGGCTCTGAAGGAACAGAACTGATAGAATGAATATATATTAAATGAATATATATTAAAAGACTGGCTTACAGGATGTAGTCCCAGTAGTCCAACAATGGCTGCCTCATGCTTGAAAGGCTGAGAAGCTGGTGTTGGTTCCACTCGTGAGTCTGGATGTCTCAGTCTGGCGCTGGATTCCAGAGAACTCTTGGAAAGCTCCTTATCTTCAGTCTACGCTGGAATCTCAAAGAAGGTGGTTCTAAAACCAGCAAAGGAATGCCTCAGTAAGAGACTAGATGTCTAGAGAGAGGGAAGCCAGGCAAAAGGAAAGCTTCCTTCTTCCATGTCCTTTAATCAGGGCTTCCACAAGAAGTTGAAGCACAAATTAGGTTGTGTCTTCCTGTTTCAAATAAGCTGATTAAGAAAATCTCTCATTGAAAGTACCCAGCAACTTGTTTTTTTATTTAATTCCACATGCAGTCTGTAGCCGGAAGTTTTCTCAGGTCCCAAGTTCCTCCATTTTTGCCTGGCCCTGCCTACCCACACCCGCTTATAAAATAATCATTCAGAGGCTTAAAATTAATTACCAATTGCATGGCCTATGGCAGACTTCTTGTTAAATAGCTCTTATAACTTAACCCATTTCTATTAGTCTATATGTTGCCATGTGGCAGTGGCATTACCGGTCTGCTGGCATCTTGCTGCTCCTTCTGCGGCAGGCTGGCATCTCTCCTCTCCTTTCCTCTCTCTGTTTATCTGCTTTGGATTTCCCACCTGCCTCTAAGCTGCCAGTCAGGTTGACAACCAGAATTAGCCATCACAATGTCTAACCACAGTGCTTCACTGGGTTTCCACATGGGTACCACTGTATTTTCACACAGGCAAGGGATCTGTGAACATAAGAGGAATGATAAGTTCCAGAGAAGGTGACACAAACACACCTTGTCCTTTCTCACCCATGAATACAGCAATAAATCAGTGTGAAATGAATGGGGCAAAGCTTTGAGGAGTCTTACAAGGAAATGGTATGAGGCAAACAAAACCAAGAGGGCCAGAACTCTAAATCCCACCAAACTCGTGGTGAAATTCCCAGTTTTCCTGTGCTATTTCCTGGACCAGGACTGAGTCATTCCAAAACCCAGAGTTGTACTCTGGTACACTGGAGAGTTCTAAGATATACAATCTGGTTCTTGACTGTTCTCTTGTGTGTCAATATTCACTTAACTCCATAGTAGCAAAGAGACCATGACAGTGATAGTGCTTAGGACATCTGATACCTAAACCTGAATCTATGAACCCATACCTTATAGTCAGAAGAGTGGCAGTCCAAAAAGCTGGGGAAACCATCACTACTTTTTCTTTTCTTATCTCCTAATGCTTGGTCTCAGATACAGACACACAAACACACACACACACACACACACACACACAGAGACAGACATGAGGGCGGGGCATGGACACAGGCAAGAGAGGTGGGTGGTGTACTAACCCCAGGGTTTAAAAGAAAAATTCATCGACATCTATGTGCCTGGTCCTACTCTCTCTGGGACTTGTGTCATGAAGTTGGATTTGTCAATGGCTTCCTAGGCGTCTATTGAAATGATCACATGACTCTTATCTCTAAGTCTCCTGATTTGTCACATTGATTGACCTATGGGTATTGAACCATCCCTGCATCTTCAGGACGAAGCCAATTTGATCTTTTTGATACATGCTTGTGTTTGGCTTGCAGGTATTTTATTGAGGACTTTTGGACCTATGCTCAACAGAAAACAGTTTTGGTTTTTTTGTTGCGTTTTATAAACAGAGTTAGGGAGTTGAAAATCTGGGTTATGCCTTTGACCTGGGATTCCTCTTCTATGCCTATAATTGAAGACTTGTTGTTTTCCAATAGTCCAATAGTTCCTGCATGTTCCTTTCATATGTTTTTCATTTTTTAAAATATTCTTTGCTTGAGTTGCATATTTCCTCTACTTTATCTTCAAGTTCTGATGTCCTCTCTTCTACTAGATCCATTCTCCTTGCAAAGTTTTCCCCTGAGTTTTCTAAGTGAGTGTTTGAGTTTTTCAATTCCATCTTTACGTCAGCTTGAGTTCTCATCAATATTTCTATCTCTTTACTAGATTTTGTTTTCAAATCCTGAATTTTTTTATCATTTCATTTAGCTTTATATTTGTCTTTCTTAGACATCATTCAGGCATTTATTGGTTCCCCATTGAGTTTGTTTGTGTCTTCTTTGGATTCTATTCATTCTTTGACCAAGTTTATGATTGTTCTTATAAATTCTATGTTCCGGGGTTCATCTAGGTAATTCTCATCAGAAAATATTTATATGGGATCAATGGGTTTAGGGGTGCATGCTGTTTGGTCTTTAATACTGTTGGTGTTTTTACAACGTGACTTGGGCACATAGACTTTGCTCTTTGTTTGTGTGTCTGATGTAAGATTCTATCCTGCCTCTTGCTTGGCTGGTGCTGAAGCTGCACACCAAGAGGTAGGCCTGGGAGCATTGAGATGATACAAACAGGATTTGTTATTGGGGCACTCACAGGAAAAGCCAGTGTGTACGAGCTTTGTGTCAGGAGCTAGGCCTGGGGGTGTGGAGATGGCATGGGCAGGCTCGGTTCTAGGCAGGATCACTAGGGGTCAGTGGATCCCAGTAAGTTCTTCCTAATGATAACCTGAAATGTAACTAGGCCCAACTAATCACTAAAAAGACCCAGACTAACCAGCAGAATTAAGAAACAAGAAGTGTGGTGGGTAGATGGCTCAGCAGGTAAAGGTGCCTACCACCAAGCCTTATAGCATGAGCTCAAGCCCCAGGACTCCACATGGTGGAAGGAAAGAATAGACTTGTGTAAGCTGTCCTCTGACCTCTATACCTCTATCACAACATCCTTGCACACACTAGATAAATAAATAGGAAACAGATTGCTTTTTTTTTTTTTTTTTTGGTTTTTTTGAGACAGGGTTTCTCTGTGTAGCTTTGCGCCTTTCCTGGATCTCGCGCTGTAGACCTTGCTTTTAAAGAAACAAGAACCAACTCCCTGTTGTCTCCAAGAAACACACTTAGCTAGCAAAGATGCCCAAAAAGTGGGTGTCTAAAAATGGAAATCAAATTGGCAAGCAAGTGGAAGCCGTAAACAAGCAGGCACAGCTCTTCTTATGGCTGATAAAATAGACTTTAAACTAAAGCTAATCAGAAGAGATAAAAAAGACCACTACATATTAATAAATGGAGCAATGGGATACAAAAAATACAACAATTATAAATATTTATGCAGAGTATCAAAGCTCCCGATTCCATAAAACAAGCACTACAAGGCATAAAAGATCACATAGTTCCTGACATAATTAAAGTGGTAAATGTCAATGTCCTGCTCATATTTAGATACTTCTTCTAAATCTAAAGTCAGCAGAAAAACTTCAGAGCTAATTTACATAAGAAATCAACTGGATTGAATATCTACAGGGTTTTTTTTTTTTTTTTTTTTTTTTGGATTTTTCGAGACAGGGTTTCTCTGTGTAGCTTTGCGCCTTTCCTGGAACTCACTTGGTAGTCCAGGCTGGCCTCGAACTCATAGAGATCCTCCTGGCTCTGCCTCCCGAGTGCTGGGATTAAAGGTGTGCGCCACCACCCGCCCGGCGGGTTATTTTATTTTATCTGACAAATAGGGAATACACATTCTTCTCAGCAGTGAATGAAACCTTCTCCAAAACTGACCCCATCATAGGCCACAAGACAAGGCTTAACAATACAGAGAGAGAGAGAGAGGGAGAGAGAGAGAGAGAGAGAGAGAGAGAGGGAGAGAGAGAGAGAGAGAGAGAGGGGGAGGGAGGGAGGGAGGGAGGGGAGGGAGGGAGGGAGGGAGGGAGGGAGGGAGAGGGAGGGAGAGAGAGAGAGAGAGAGAGAGAGAGAGAGAGAGGAGAGAGAGAGAGAGAGAGGAGAGAGAGAGAGTTCTTTAGGCCACAGTGGAATAAAGGTAGAAGTCAGCAGCAAGGGGGACTTCAGAAATGCCATGTGAACATCACATACATCAAACACACTTTGATTCTGTCATCTATGTTGGTTATATTATAGCAGAAAAAAATTTATTTATCTTCCAACTCATGAGATAGAGGGTGGACTGTGGAATCTGAGATTTGTGCTCTAGGAAGTCCAGCAAAAAGAGAGGGAGAGGAAGGGAAGGAATGAGAGACAAACAGAACAGACAGAGAGACAAAGACAGAGAGACAGAAAACACAGGCCCCTGAAGCTCTTGGGGAGGAACTGGATGGTTCCAGGAGCAAACCAACTGGGTGAAAAATGTTCTCCAATTGTCTTTGCTTCTAGATTCCTTGGCCAAGGAAAGAATGTGTTCTATTGATGTCAGTGTGAAGAGCATGGGCATCGTGCCAGCAAGCTGGAAACATCAAGTGTAAGCAGGTTATCATTTGGAACAAGGAGACAAGGCCTCTGCCCTGTGAGCTGGTACCCAATAGAGAACAAAACTTCACATTTAAGATTTGTCCAGGTGGGGCTGGAGAGATGGCTCAGAGGTTAAGAGCACTGGCTGCTCTTCCAGAGGTCCTGAGTTCAATTCCCAGCAACCACATGATGGCCTCACAACCATCTGTAATGAGATCTGGCACCAGATATAGACAGAACACTGTAGACAATAAATAAATCTTTTAAAAAAAATCAAGATTTGTCCAGGTGATTAGCAAACACACAAATGAACTCTGACTTCCCATCCACTAGCAACATATAACTAAGAGTGGGCCCTTCCATCCACACCACGAATCTGCTTCCACGAATCTGCTTCATCCTATACTCCAGGCTTGTAGCCTCCTTTATGTCAGAGAGCCAGTAAGGGAAGAACTGAGCCACCAGTACCAGTGTGTGTACTCTGAGCCATTCCCCAGCCTTTCTTACTATTCCTGACATTGTGACCTTGGTTAACAGTGAGATATGGAGCAGACCAGAACATGCCTTTACCTAATGAGGGAGACAGACAGGTGTCCCCCGGATAGGTTACATGGACACCGTGTGGGTGTCTGAGTAGAAAGCTTCACTGCTGGGGGAGAAAATGTCACACCCAAGACTACTGTACTAAACAGCAAGCACCCTTCCGGAGAGGGATCCCCCAGAAGTACTGTCTTTTCTACAGAACATGTCTCAGCCTTCTCTCCAGAAGCCTGTCACCTGCCTCCAAATTGTCAAACCAGACAGTACTGCCTCTGAGGGTCTCAGTCCCCAAGGATCTGGATTTCCAATGCCATCTTCTCACATCCACTCTCTCCAGCCACCTTCTCTTCCACACTTGAGAATTCCACCGACTCCAACGTCGGCTTGCCAAGGCCGACACTGTCTCTTCTCAGCCCACCCCGCCTTTTTCCAGACAAAGCAACTCTCTAAGGCGTTGTTCTCAACCTTCCTAATGCTGTGGCCCTTTTTAATGCAATCCCTCCTGTTGTGGTGACTCCCAACCATAAAATGATTACTGTTGTTACTTCATAACTGTAATTTTGCTACCGTTATGAATCATAATGTAAATATCTGAATTTTTCAATGGTCTCAGGCAACCCCTGTGAAAGGGTAGTTTGACCCCCAAAGGGGGTCAAGACCCACAGGTTGAGAGCCACTGCTCTAGGAAAACACATGCACAAACTATTACTATTCTCCCTCTGCTGGCCTCACAGTTCTGTGAGACTCAAATACCACAACCCCTCTGGAGCTTGTCCTGACCACCTGAACAGGTCTGTCCTTCCTCTGTTAGAATACCAACATGCTTTTGAGGCCCCTCTGCTCTCTCTGTGGCCATGCTACCCCATGGGCCTTTGGTCTCTGCTGATGTCCCCTGGACTCCCTTGAATCTTTGTGGCTGGTACATGCTTCAGTGGTGCTCTGTGGGTAAGTCAACCTGCAACGCTATTGGTGGCAGTGATTTGGGGCAGTTAATGGTCCTTTAAAAGTCTGGAATATGGCCGGGCGGTGGTGGCGCACGCCTTTAATCCCAGCACTCGGGAGGCAGAGCCAGGCGGATCTCTGTGAGTTCGAGGCCAGCCTGGGCTACCAAGTGAGTTCCAGGAGAGGCGCAAAGCTACACAGAGAAACCCTGTCTCGAAAAACCAAAAAAAAAAAAAAAAAAAGTCTGGAATATGTAACTCTGGGGTGGGGGTCACTGAGAAGGTGACCTGAGGGGGGACAATTAGGCTTCCTGTCCTCACCCACTTACCCTGGGTGGGGGGAATTCTCAAGTTTTAGGCTGAGTGACTGAGTCCTAGATACTAGGTCTCCAACATTACCTTGCCCTCAGGAGTCTGGTCCTTCTATCCAGAGACCAGTAGTAATCAGCAAGGATGACAGTCACATTCCTAGGGACATCGGGAGCCAATGCCTGCTGTCTACAGTGCTAAGGACTTGAGATTCTCCGCTTGCTTGATATGGTAGTTTGAATGTAATTAGCCCCATAATCTCATAGGGAGTGGCACTATTAGGAGGTGTGGCTTTGTTGGAGTGGGCATAGCCTTGTTAGAGGAAGTGTGTCACTGTGGGGGTGGGCTTTGAGGTTTCCTATGCTGAGGATACTGTCCAATGTCTCAGTTGATTTCCTGTTGCCTGCAAGATGTAGGGCCCTCAGCTACTCCTCCCTTACCATGTCTGCCTGCATGCCTCCATGCTCCCCGCCATGATGACCATGGACTGAACCTCTGAACTGTCAGCCGCCACCTCAATCAAATGTTTTCCTTATAAGAGCTGCCATGGTGGAGATGTCTCTTCACAGCAATAGAAACCCCAAGGCACTTGGCCCAGTCCTGAGCAGAAGTGGAAACGTCATGCACAAAGGTGTCCAACTTTTGTGCACGAAGGGCTCCAATGAGGAGTTTGTGTCAATCAGGTAAAATATGCAGCTGGCAGCTTGGAATCCAATTATAATCAGGTCAGTGGGCAGGGGGCTCTGTTTGGAGATTGGTCAGATGCCTGCCCATTGTCATTATTCACAATTGAATGCCAAGCACCTTCATTAGGGAAGAACACACACCTTCCCCACTGCACACCTTATTCATAGCCACCGACACCAGTTTTAAAGTCTGACATAATTAACTAACATGTCACAAAATCACATTTTTTTTCACATCTAAATCCTTCCTGCAATAATTACTTTCAGGGCAGGAGGTACCCTGAAGTCTTGTCAAAAGAAAACAGCTAAATATTAAAGCAAAATTCTCCTCATGCCAGTGCCACTGATGTTCTTGGCTGGTGCAAGATTTCGTGATAAAGCTGATGACAGTCGACATAAAACACTTTCAGGAACGCATCCTGTGTAAACTCCGCCATGCCTGTAAATTCAGGCAGAGACCTGGAGCTTTGGCGCCCCCTAGGAGTCCCACTTGGAACAAGCGCCCATTTCTCAAAGGGCAAGCAAGGTTCTTTCCTTGTGAAGAGAACCAAACTAAAGACTTTTTATCTTTTCCAAGAAGCCATTCCTTCTAGACGTCCCCTGCCTCCTAGCCTGATGATAAGGCTGGGTAAAAGTGCTACACTGACCACTGACCAGACTGGTTCTGTGTGTAACATTGTACCAAACAGAGGGGAGGCCTGCCATATCTAGAATCATTTTTGATACTGAACCTTGTTCTAATTTTGGAGTCAAGGTCTCTGTGGTTATTTAAAGAACAAGTGTAACCCTGGGGGATTTTTTTTCAATTTTCCAATGAAATCAGAGGCTCTATTCTTGGGTGTTAATACACGGGAGAGAAAAGAGGGACAATTAGGGTAGTTTGGGGTTAGACAATGTTAAGTCTAGCACAATCTGAGCACTTTGGGGAAGAAATAATGCGAAAATTGGGATGCTGCGCCTTGGCCGGCTACCACGGAACCCAAGACTCACTTTTCTGATCTTTGATTCCTCCCCCCTTTGTAAAAGCCCAAATTTTAGCATTGTTATTTAATAACACGGGAGAACTAAATTTAACTAAAATTAAAACAAATCATTTTTAAAGGACTATAAACAGATGTAAAGAGAGCCACAAATACAGGGAGAGAGACACAAAGACACATGGGTGGATGAATGTCATCTTCACCAGAAACTGCATGATGGACGGAAGGACATATGGGGAAGTCGTCTTAGTTTGCTTCCTACATAAAATTGCATAAGGTCTCCCCAAAGACAACTTCTGCAGCCCCTGTTGGAAACACTCTATTCAAGGGCATCAGGAAAGTCTCCTTGCACATCGGTCTCTCACAAGTTCCCACCACTCATCCACAAACTATTAAAAAAGAAAAGGGGAGAGGGGAAAAAGAGCCGTGAAGTTTGTCAATTCAATCCTGGACCACCAGCGTCCTCTGTTGGTCACCTACGGAAGGAGCGCTTATACTTTGGAGAGGCCCACACAAGAGAAAGTAGATAGCTGCGAACTCAAGAGAGAGCTATTGCACTGGGGTTTCAACTCTTCGCGGTGTTCTGAGTGCGGCGGGCTAGCAGTAACTCCAGTCTGCACTGGGGCGTATCAGAGAGAATTTAGTACAGGCGTGCAACGATGACTTCAAAAATGGTTGTGAAAATTATTCGTTTTAGGGGCTGCTTGGCTATTAATCGTGGTTCAGCGGCACCCGCTTCAGTGTCTATGAAGATGTAACCGCTAACTTAAAAGAATCCCCAAATAAGAACTGTTGGAACTTCATTTCTTTAAAAAAAAAAAAAAAAAAAAAAAAAAAAAAAAAAAAAAAAAAAAACCCTTCCCCTAAGGACGCTCTCACTGCTCATATCGGCTAACTGGGGAAGTGTGGCGAAGTAAGAGAGTATTTGAGTCACGACCCCGCTTTGAAAGGCAAATCTTTAGAACCCACGACTGTCACGTTCGATTGTTCAGTGCGAGACTCTGGAGGCTCCAGTGACCAACGGTGCAGATTTAAATATGATCCGCACGTTCTCGCTGGGAAATGCAACATGCTCTACATGAGGCACTCAATTGCAGAAACTTTGCGAAGTACACAGGAGTTGAATGAGCCCGCCAGCTTTCCAGACATAAATCAGTGCAGGAGGGCCACCTAAACGCGGCATCCAGGGGGAGAGGCTGCAGGGTCCTGGGCGCCAAGTTGGTTGGGAGTCATTTCATTAGGGGGAATCAGAGGCCCTCAAGTGACTGGGACGCAAGAGACAGCAAGGTGGCCGGAAGCGCCCACGGTTCCCGGGAAAGAAGGGGAGGCCCGAGAGTGCAGGGCGTGCGTACATGGGAGCAGGTGCCCAGTGAAGACGCGCGCAGCGCGCCCCCGTCCTTGGTCCCGCTTCCCGGGGAGGCGCGGGCCCTGGAGCCGAGCCTGCGCCGGCCCACCCCCCACCCGCGCCGTTCCGGGGCGTGTCCTCCGCTACCCCAGCTTCTATATATCGGCCTGCGCGCCGGGGCTGCCCAGATGCGAGCTAGCGCGGCTGCTGGACGCTGAGGACCTGCTGCTCGCTCCGCACATCCCGCAGCCTCGTCCCGCGTGCTCCGCTCCACTCCGCTCCGGTCCGCCGAGCCGCAGTCTCTCCGCCCGGCGCCATGCATCCCGCGCACCCCGCGCTCTGGGCGGCTGCGCTCACCGCACTCACTCTGCTCCGCGGGCCGCCGGGGGCGCGAGCCGGCGCGGGCGCGGTGGGCGCGGGCCCCGTAGTGCGCTGCGAACCGTGCGACGCGCGCGCGCTGGCCCAGTGCGCGCCTCCGCCCACCGCGCCCGCGTGCACGGAGCTGGTGCGAGAACCGGGCTGCGGCTGCTGCTTGACTTGCGCGCTGCGCGAAGGCGACGCGTGCGGCGTCTACACCGAGCGCTGCGGCAACAACCTCCGCTGCCAGCCACGGCCCGGGGAGCAGTACCCGCTGAAGGCGCTGCTGAGCGGGCGCGGGTTCTGCGCCAACGCCAGCGCCGCCGGCAGCCTGAACGCCTACCTGCCCTCCCAACCCGCTCCAGGTAAGCAGTTCGCACCACGTGCGCCGAGCGCACTCCCTGGGACCTGGCGCGGGTGGCGGGCAGGCAGAGCCTGTGGCTTCAGAGGCTTGGCGTGGCTCATCCAGAAGGTGTTAGTGGCGAGACGGGCCCTGGGAGGCGAAGGGGTCCCCGCGGCCATCGCTCCACTTGCTTGCTTCTCAAAGTGCAGCTTTCTTGTAAGTTGCAAAATGCTGTCCAGGAAAACCGGTGAATTTCCGTGGCAAGACAAAAGGATACCAAGGTAGACTGCCAGAGGATGGATCCTGGTCATTGGAGAGTCTCGCTGAGCGCAGATGCCTGGGTTTGGGCTCTGTAGCCCAACTGTGGACCTGAGTTTCCATTCTCCACAATTGGGAAGGCGTCTGTCTATCCCAGGGAAGCATGAGCATGGGAATCCGGGATCGGGTCAGGACCAGGAAGGTTTGTTGGTTGGCACTTGTCTTGAAAAATACTAACGTTTTTGCACGGGCTGCTGGGCAAAGCAGTATTGTGTCCCCGTTTATCCAAAAACTAACAAGATGGAATCAGAGTCCTGGTGTCTTTAAGGTTGTGTAATCTAAAGTTCAAAAACTTCAGAACTCCTCAACATCACCAGGAGCTACAATAGGGTTTGAGCCCCGTTTGTCCCAGTAGGCACTATCCCACGCCCTGCGGCGCCTGAGGGGTTCGGGGATCATGTCCCAGGTACGTGGGGTGCAGGCAGTGCAGATCCAGGCGTTTTCCCTGCTGAAGCAGAGACTAGAAATGCTACCCAGGAATGTTCCCCCTTCATAATCCGGTGCGGAATGAGTGGGGTGCAGCGGAAGCAGCCCCTGAAAGGAAAATCGCAAACGCTTGGCAGTTACCCTTCCTGGGGCTGGTCCTATCAAGCAGGCGGCCATTCTAGGGACATTGCGTTGTTCCCTTAGGAAGAAAAAGAAAGAAAGAAAGAAAGAAAGAAAGAAAGAAAGAAAGAAAGAAAGAAAGAAAGAAAGAAAGAAAGAAAGAAAGAAAGAAAGAAAGAAAGAAAGAAAGAAAGAAAGAAAGAAAGAAAGAAAGAAAGAAAGAAAGAAAGAAAGAAAGAAAGAAAAAGAAAGAAAGAAAGAAAGAAAGAAAAGAAAGAAAGAAAGAAAGAAAGAAAGAAAGAAAGAAAGAAAGAAAGAAAGAAAGAAAGAAAGAAAGAAAGAAAGAAAGAAAGAAAGAAAGAAAGACTTAAATGGATTTGGCAGCTGTTGTTCGAAATGTCCAGCATTCTTAGCCAGTCTCAGCTTAGTTATGTGACTCAAGTCCTTGCCCAGCACAGACAAAGGCTAGAATTCTCGGGTCTCCCCACATCAGGCAGGCAGATGGTGCGGAGCAAGCCCCTGGGACCACGGCTAGCTGGACCAACGGTCCCTTTATGATTTCTGTGGCTGCAGAGCTACACTCCCAGGTACAGGCAGGTCCTGGTTTATTCATCCCTGAGAAGCACCGGATTCCTGGCAAAGCAAGACTCCAGTTGTTTCGCTGACTCAAGTCAAAAGCAAAATTAGGCTGTTTGCCTTGTGTGTCTTTGACTTCGAGTGCATTCAGTGGTATCCCAGAAGCGATCCTAAGAAATACCAACATTGCCATTTTGAGTTAGGCTTAACGACCACTGTTAGTAAGCGCCATCGAAGCGCTATAGTATAAATTGATGTGAGCTTTAGTTGTAAAATAGTTCAGTGGCTTCTAATATCCATGGGGGTAGGGGAGGGAATAATAGTTCTGTGACACAATTCACAATTACCTTTTTTTTTTTTTTTTTTTTTTTTGGTTTTTCGAGACAGGGTTTCTCTGTGTAGTTTTGCGCCTTTCCTGGGACTCACTTGGTAGCCCAGGCTGGCCTCGAACTCACAGAGATCTGCCTGGCTCTGCCTCCCGAGTGCTGGGATTAAAGGCGTGCGCCACCACCGCCCGGCCACAATTACCTTTTTAAGTTGAACCATATTCTCCCCTAATCAGCGGTCTAAGGTTAACAAACAAACAAAGGGAGTTTAAGAAATTACTTCAGCTTCTTGGAAGACAAATACTTTTATTTACATATTAGCATTTCCTCTGTCCCTATACTTCCAAAAAGAAAAACCACTAAGATTAAAGCAAATTGAAACCAAGTCTCTGCCAGGTGCTGGTCTAGATCCTGGGAATTTGTGCTTGAGAAGGCACAGAATTCATTGAGAGCTTTGCAGATGGACTCTGGGAGCTATTTGGTAGGTGAGAAACTGAGGCCCGTGGGCAAGAGGGTCTCCCTGGGTCCTGAGGGGCCGTTGCTCTAAACAGTGGACTCTGCAGCCCTCTGGCAATTTCCAGAGAGTGAAGCATTTGCTTCTCCTGGCCTAGAGCCAGAGACTCCTGTCTTCCTCATGGGCAGGATGCCCCAGCCTGGCATTTCCTGAGAGGCAAAAAAAAAAGAGGCCAGCTGGAGCCCCACACCTTGCACCCAGACAGAGTAAGTTCGGAACTAGATTGGAGAGCCAACTGGACCTTCCTGCTAGGAGGGCTATTAATTCATGAGAGCAAAGGAATTCTGTAGCCAAGACCTGAAGGTTGAACCTGAAGCTTTGGAGTTCAGAGCTGGACATCATTGGGGGTTGATCATCTGGCTTTGGATCCCCATGGGGCTCTTACTACAAGTTGGAGTGGCGAAGTCTGGCTTCCTGTCTAGCCACAAATCTAGTCACATACATAAGATCCCAATTAATCTATTAGCCTTCCAGCATCGGTATCAGTTAGGACCCTCCCCTTAGCACCTTGGATTATGAGAGGCCCCTCCCAAAAGGAGTTTTCTTTTTAGCTCCCCTCCCCCCTCTCCAAGGTAGTAAATGCACCTTGGCACCTAGTGGTCTAAGCTGTGGGCAGTACATTGGTGCTATCTGCATTCTGTGTGCTCACTGCTGAGGGCAATGGGAAAGGTTTGCCCAAGAAAGTGCCCCTCCCACCCAATACACAAAGTCTGTGTGGACCTTGAAACTGAAAGATATACAGGCACCTCAGAAATAAACTTCTCTCACATGCCCACAAGATTCTGCAGGTCCCTGAAGTGAGATACTTCACATGAAACCAGAGCTCACAGCAAACCTGAGTTTTGAATATCGGAATCCCAGGCCAGTGTGATGCTGCCACTGGGTGGGGATTTTTTTTTTTTTTCACATTGTCCCACTCCCAACAGCTGTGCCCAGGGCTGAGAGGATGACATTTGGAATCTCTTGTGAGTTTTCTGATCAGCTCCATAGCAGCATTCTATGGTGCATGACTGCCCCCTGCTGGTAACAGGTGGAGCTGGCTGCTTTCTCATCTGTTGAAGGTCTTCCTAAGCATCCACTGCCTTCACTTGGCACTGTATAGTAAAACCACATGGCAGAGTAACTTTCTAACCGATGATTTCCTGAAGTAAAGCAGTCGGGGTACAACGGGTAGTATTCTAGAATGCTTTATCCAGTTGCCTTTTTCTTAACTTATTAAGAATTGTTGAATGACTTTGCCTTTTAGGTGTGACCTGGTTCTGAAAAGATTATTATTCCGTTGCCAATAATGATCATTTCCTTATCTCCATGTTCTTTTCCAGGAAACATCAGTGAATCTGAGGAGGACCACAGTGCTGGGAGTGTGGAAAGTCAGGCTGTCCCCAGCACACACCGAGTGACTGATTCCAAGTTCCATCCACTCCATGCGAAGATGGATGTCATCAAAAAAGGCCATGCCAGGGACAGCCAGCGTTACAAAGTTGACTATGAGTCACAGAGCACAGACACCCAGAACTTCTCCTCTGAGTCTAAGCGGGAGACAGAATATGTGAGACCTTTTCCTCTTATTGGGGAGGGGGGCACTCGAAAGAAACACCCCAAGACAGTCTTCATGTAGCAAGTCCCAGAGGTCCTAGCTGATGAATGGGCAGCTTCTCTCTTCCAGGCCCTACCTCCTATGTCAGAGACTCTTGGAAAGTTCAAGCTGAAGTGTACTAGTAAAGTGTGTGGTGGGCCCCCGCAGTTAAAGAACAGACTTCCCATAAGACGGCTTGATTTTATTCGGTGGACTTCCCGAAGCCTACTGGCCTCTTCTTAGATCACTTTCCACAAACTTAGTCGTACTCTTGAGAGAGCAGAAGACACGGAGTGATGGTTAGCGTCCTCCCGGGACCTTCTCGCTGACCCGAGCAGAATGTCCCAGAGAGGCGTGTCACAGGTTCCTTCTGGGATGGTCCGGTGGCCACTAGAAGATTGTCAAAACAATAATTGTGTCCTCAGGGTCCCTGCCGCAGAGAAATGGAAGACACCCTGAATCATCTGAAGTTCCTCAATGTGTTGAGTCCCAGAGGTGTCCACATCCCAAACTGTGACAAGAAGGGGTTCTATAAGAAGAAGCAGGTGAGTGGGGTCCCCAGGATGTTCTCTCCCTCCTTTCTCCATTGGCCCAGTGGGGAATCAGCCTCAGTTTGCAGGAGCCTCAACTGGTGTGGCCCCCTTCTGATACACGTATGCATCACCTAGTGGCGATATTTTAGGTAGCTTTCTAACTAGGTAGTTCACATGACTCTAGGAGACAGCAGTGAACAATGCTCACCACAGCATGTTCACATTCCAGTGTTTATACGGTAGTCTGCATCAGGGATCCTGAGCCTCTACGCTATCCATTGCCTAGCTCAGCACACTTCCACTAAGGCGAGACCAGAGATGAGGCTGGACGTGAGGTCTGAGAGATCCAGCCTGACAGCCACAAGGCAAAGAAAGCTCAGCCGCCCCTCCAGCTTCCCCAGAGAGGTTAGAGCACACATAGGCATGCATGGATGTACACCCCCACCTACACATGGGTGGCTCTTTAGGAGTCATGACCATCATAATTTTACCTCAGGCCAGCTGAACACTGGGTAAGCACTTGGGTTACCAGCTTAAACACAGTGTCCCGGTTAGGGTTTTTATTGCTGTGAAAAGCATCATGACTAAGAACAGTTGGTGGAGGAAAGGGTTTATTTCACTTACACCTTCATATCACGGTCCATCCCTGAAGAAAGTCATGGCAGGAACTGTAGCAAAGGCCGTGGACGAGTGCTGCTTACTAGCTTGCTCCCCAAAGGGTTGCCCAGCCTGCTCTCTTATAGCTCTGGTGGGGACATTTTCTCAGCTGAGGTTCCCTCTTCCCAGATGACGGTAGCTTGTGTCGAGTTGACGTAAAACTAGCCGATGCGTGGGGTACCGATGCGTGTGTTACCCATGCGTGTGTTACCCATGCGTGTGGTATTCATGTCCTGTCTCCCCCTCCCCCAGTGCCGCCCATCCAAAGGCAGAAAACGTGGCTTCTGCTGGTGCGTGGACAAGTACGGACAGCCCTTGCCTGGCTATGACACCAAGGGCAGAGATGACGTGCACTGCCTCAGCGTGCAGAGCCAGTAGATGCTGCCCGCTGTGCCACGTAAGCCAAGGGTTTAGGTCCCGGGGCAGCTCCCTCTGAAAGTGGTTGAGAATCCGGAGAATTGCTCGGGGCAGCTATGGCCACCAGATGTCCATCCACCCCTCATCCTGGGCTTATTGGCCCAGGAGCTGCAGCCGGGCCCCAAAGAGAGGAAGATAAAGGGGACTGTTCAGGGAGAAGGAGGTCCCTACCCAACCACACACTCAAGGCCAGGGTCGGTGTGGCTTCAAAGATACCTATTCTAAATGACTTAAAATATACACTTTCTTTTTCTTTTCTTTTTTTTTTCTTTTTTTTTTTTTTTTTTTGGCTTTTCAAGACAGTATTTCTCTGTGTAGCCCTGGCTGTCTTGGAACTCACTTTCTAGATCAGGCTGGCCTTGGACTCACAGAGATCCATCTTCCTCTGCCTCCCCAGTGCTAGGATCAAAAGCATGCACCACCACAGGCCCACACTCTTTCATATACAAACACTGAAGATACTCTTTTTTTTTTTTCAAGTAAAACTCTAATCTACAGAAATTCAGTGGTTTGCCTTCATGGGGGAATGAAGCAATTATGAGAAAGATTAAATATGCTATGCTTTCTCAAGACAATATTAATAGACAGAAAAATATTCAGTTTTAGTTAAAATTTTTTCTTATAAGTTGGAAAAATAATTCTAATTTGGGGGTAACACTTTTTAACAAAGAAAGTATCTTACAGTGTTCTTTGATTGGTTGAGAAAGAATAGACTAAGGCCCCGCCCCTTTCTCACAGTGTCACACTGAGTGCTTGGGGGCTGAGTGAAAGGCTGAGTCCTTTGGATTTTGGAGGTAGTTATTTCAATGTATGTCTTATTCTTTTTTTTTTTTTTTTTTAGTTGATCTGGAGCTCAAATACGCCTTATTTTGCACAAAAGACTGCCAACAACATGATCAGCAGCTGGCTACAACCTTGACTTATATTTCTTTTTTGTGGTGAACTGATTAAAAACAAAAAAACCAAAGTTTAGACAGGTTTTTGAAATGCCTCTGGTTGTTTAAATAGTAAACTTGATCATCCTTCTACTCTCCGGTAGTCAACAAAAAAGCAGTTTGAATTTTCCTGTTGCTTCCTATGAAAACACTCATGTACTCCAGGCCACGGATGCCCTCTCCCCGCTAACCCACCCCCCCAACACGGGGCTTCAATGCTGCTGGCCCTCTGCCTTCCTGACTTGAGAGGTTCTGTTGCCGATACAGAAAAATCCTCTTTCCATTCCCTGTAAATGAGTGCAGGCACTATGGAGAATGGGGAAATCCCTAACCAAGTCACCAGGACATCTGGACACATACTCCTGAGGCTCATGGTCCTTAGGGTGTCATCTCTGAACCAAGGGCCTGGCCCATTATCTGCAAGTGACCTGATCTACTTGGGAACTGTGGGAGAGGATAGGTGAAATCTCTCTGATTAAAACTGACCAGGAATGTTCTAAGGCACTCTGGGAGCCCATAAAAAAACAAGGACGAGGACCCTCCGTTGTCAGCAGATGGTCCCCAGGTGGGAGGAGCAGTGAGCGTCAGCTTCCAAGTTCAGACATGTCACAAATAATGGTACAGTTAGTTCTTCAGATGATTTCAAAAAACAACAGTGTTTTCTTGTCCAACTTCTCAAAATAAAATTTATTATGAGGGGAGGGGGGAGGGGAGGCACGACAAGCTTTTTTTTTTTTTTTTAAGAAAAAAAAGGTTTATTTTTATCTTCCCCCTCCTTCCTATCTAAACAGGAAAGAGGAACGGCTTGTTGGAGAGCCTGGCAAGACCACCTAGAGAATCACCCGTTGTTGATCTTAAGGTCCTTCTCAGACTTTCTTTATAATTCACGCATATATGCAGATAAAATACATTCGTAATTGTTAACAGTGTATACGACATAGCCCAAATATAATAGAATCTGTACTAGATAATCTTAGGTAAAACGTTAGAGATGCTAGGTGATGTAACCCCGGGAACGCCCCAGGACAGGAGCCCGTGTCTGGAGGCGGGGCTGCTCTCCCCAAGGCCAAGGCCAAGGGGGTCTGGCAACAGAGGGTGCGAGGAGACCGCACTGCATCCCACGGGGTGGACATGCGCTGTACAGAGCTTGTCTTGAGAGCTCAAAGGAATCTCAAGACATTCTGCCTGCCTATCAGCTTTCCTTTATTTTTTTAATTAAGTTTTTGGGGGAAAAATGTATTTTTGAAAAGTTTGTCTTGCAATGTATTTATAAATAGTAAATAAAGTTTTTATCATTTAAAAAAAAATGCCCGGCTCCTTTTGTTTGCATCTGGGTCTTGAGTCACTGGCGAGATTACTCCGTGAGGGAAGAATCTTCTAGACATAGTAGAAGATGTCATGGACATTTCTAGATATAGCTGAGTCCATCTCCAACAAAAGAATCTCAGTGGGACAGCTGCTGTGGCCTCTGACATCCACGCAGCATCAGGCCACATACAGAGGAATATCTGGGTCCAGTAGGTTGTGTGGGTGGTTATTATGATCTAGACAGTTAAAGTAGGCTGTCTCCATGACAGTCTGGTCCTTGCCTCTCCAGTTTGGGCCTCAGGTCTTCAGAGCAGCTTCCCCAGGTACATGATGTGAACGGTAAGATGGGCACATCCTACAAGTCACTAGCCTTTCTGCTACTGGGTGCTTGGAGAAGGGAAGTGAACCTAATCCAGAAAAAGAGGAGAACCCCCAAAGGATGCTGGGAGGTCTCCTGGTACCTCAGTCCCTCTCTGGCTTTGGCACAACTGTCCCTTGCCAAAATAACGTCAAGTACATCCTGGGACCATGGCATCAAACCACATTCAGTAATTGCCTGCTTAGAGTCATGTTTAAAGTCATCCAACAGACATCCTAAGTGATCACAGAGTTGGACACAACAAACAAACAAAAAAATTGGTTCTATGAGTGTTTGGAGCTCTGGGGATGTACAGTATGACCACAGGGTGGGAACCAAGAAAAATCAGAGGGCAGTACCCTTGGAGTGCTGTGCTGACTGACACTTCAACAATGCACACTGAACTCACTTGGGAGGGGCAGCATACAATGGCCACCACGTGCCCTGAAGCCAGATCCAGAGTGCATCACCCTCGTGTTTGAGCCTCTAGGAATCCAGGACAGAAACTTAGCAGGCCCTTTGGTGCCATGGCAGAGGTGTGAGCCACATGGTGATGCTTCTTCATAAATCCACTGGGCTAACCTCCCTGGACCTACCAGTTCACACACCCTTCCTTGCCCTCACCCCTTCACCTCTGACCTTTCACCTGTCCATGCTTGTGATGGTCATTTCCTCATATCAACTTGACCAGGCCACGATGTGTACAAAGTTAACATCATTTCAGGTATATCTGTGAGTGTCTCCTGATGAGATGTACACACTGACTCCCCGACACCCACCACCAACACCACCCACATTAGCTGCACATTGTGCCATCTGCTCAGAGTCTGAATAAAACAAAAGGGGGAGAATTCTTCCTTCCTACCTGGCATTTATCTTCTCTGACCCTTAAAGTGGAAATTACATCACCAAGTCACCAGTGTTCAGGTCTTCAGCCTCAGACTGATCACAGTACCAGCTTCCCTGGGGTAGATGTTGGGACTTCTCAGCCTTCCCTAGCACATGAACCAATTCTTCACAGTGAATCTCCATTGACAGGTAGGTGAGTGGATAGATGATGGATGGATTGATTGACAGATGGAATTCAAAGTCAGACAAATAGATGGTTGAAGAGTAAGTAAGTGCTGGGTACTATATAGAGAGATGGTTGTTAAGTGATAAATTGGTAGAGCTAAGGAGATGGCTTGGAGGCAGAACACTTGCCTTGTAAGTATGAGGCCCTGAGTTCATTTGCCATATAAAAGATAAAGAGCTAGAGAGACAGATGACAGATAGTTAAATACCAACAGAAGATAGGTCATAGACAGATGTGTGGACCCTACTGGCTCTGGCTCTGTGGCAAGGTAATAATACTTGCCACAAGAGGCAATACTTGAGCAAGTCCTCTTTAAATGTTCTAAGCCCTTCAAGGACTCATGCCCGCCTGCTTTTCCTCTTGCTCTTTCTTCATCTGCTGCTTCTCCCAACCTCCCAGCTAGACACTCCTCTGACTCTCTGCCTTCTCCTCCGCTGCCCTCCAACCCTAGGAGTTAGCCATCACCAATCCTAAAGGTTGCTGTGCCCAGTGACCTTCACACATAGGGAAGTGGGAGATGTCTGGTCCCCTGGAGAAGAGGCAGTGAAGAAGCCTCAGCTTCCCTTTCAGACATCAGTAGGCAGGGCTGGAGGCAGCCTGAGTGGAATAATCTGACACGAAACACTATGGAAAGATAGGAAGCAGCGAGAGGCCAGGAACATTCAGCAGGGGGAGGGGCAAGCATCAGGCAAGATGGCTTCTGACAGGCCACCTGGGTCAGTTTTGAGAAATGGACAATGGAGGGATGGAGAAGACAGCTGGGGCTGGGACTGGGGCTTTGGCCTGGAAACTAGAGAGAGGAGCATGAGCTGCTGACCAGCTGTGGCAAAGGTGGATGGTGACTCCGAGACGGGGAGAAGGCTCGAGAACAAAAGCAATCCAAAACTGGACATGGTGGCCCTGGGCACTTTGAAGCCTAAGGCAGGGGAATTGCTGTGACTTCTAGACCAGCCTGGGCTACACAATAAGACCCTGTCTCAAAAGCACAAGAAGCCAGTGACTACTCGTCTGTACCTGTATTCCAGCTAGAGGAAACCTGGGCCTATTAATAAGTCGAAGAGTGTTAAGGAGGGGAGAGGCTGAGGACTCCGGGGAAAAAGAGATGGGCTGAGAGGGAAAGGGATCTCTAGTGTGACCCAGACAGGGGCCTGATGCTGCTTGATAATGGGGCCACACGATCAAAGCACCATCTATCACGCTGTCTATCCCCAAAGCAGACTCAGAGTCAGGTGTGGGTGAAAGGTAAAGAGATCGCAGGAACAAAGATGAGGCTGGGACTCCACAGGGACAACAGGACTTGCAGGTAGAGTATTTATTCCAGATGTGCGTTTAAAAATAAACCGGATGCAAGTTTCCACATTTAGCTTTGATTACATCGTCAACATCTTAACTTTCCTGGCAAATGGGCATCAGACACAGGTCTGTGGGATGCAGAGAGGAGAGTCTTGGCTAACTTTTCCTCCTTAAACCCACTGGAAAACTCTCTACCTCACACTGACTTGCGCATGTTCCAGGCAGTATCACTCTGCCCTTTCAAAACAGAAGAATGGACTCTGGAATAGCTGAGACGTAGTATTTACATATATGGTGATGAGAAGTGCTTCATGATATATAAATTAATATAGCACAAGTAACTGTGTAGAAAAACATAAACTTACAGTGAATAAATACGAACCAACACATACCATCAAGCAGTATGTGGAGTATAAAAAGTAGTTCCTGGATATATACATATACACATATATAAAATGGTGTGCTCCAGAGTATAAATATACTATATACTTAAATATTTGGTGTGAGAGAACATGTATGGAAGCCTTCAGTTTTGTACATTGAAATACTGGTGGCAGTTGGGGTCCCCTCTGGTCTCCAGAGACCCAGGGATCTTCTTCCCACTCCATGGATAGACACACCAGCAGAGCCCCGCTTCTCCATCCAGGGATGTCTCACACTGTAAAGACAGGACCAAGGTCAGGAGCAGCAGGCGGTGGGAGCTGTGGCCACCCTGTCCCTGAGTGAGGCTGAGCACTGCACAGCCACCTACTAGCTAAGACTCAGCAATGTCAACGCCCTTCTCGTGGTCATGACAAAATGGAGACACTTGCTGTGTGGCACATGGGATAATGGTCTCACACATTTGTTCAATGGTACAGTGTTTTCACAATTATCTGCTTCATGGCCCTGATGGCAAAGGAGCCCAGCAATAGACCTCTTTGATTAACCACCTCAATCACTCAGCTGGGCCTAGACCTCCGGTTTTCTGAATGTAATCCCAGAACCTGAACTTCTCTGAGTCCTAA